TGAGGCAGCATAAACATGAAATTTGTGAGAGATATACATAATCAACAATTAAACTCATTGAATGGGAAAGGACAATCAATACCATACAGATTCAATGTATATAAAATTGTATGTACAAGCTAAATAAATGAACATTTTAACATTTAGAAAGATGAACACCGTGCCGCCTTACATAGCTGATTCTATTCATGGTTGTCCACTTGTCATATATTGTAGCAACATCTGAATCAGGATCCTTGACCTAAAATTAGCTTGAATATTAGTTGGAACATATTATAATCCAAGTCATAAAAATAAGATGTAATTCACTCTTTTTTGCTTCTTTCGTCTGTCTACCTTCTTTGTGACCTCAAAAATAAGATCATCTAGCTGAGGAGTTGCCCCAGCAAAGAATCCAGGCCCTTGAACTGCACAATCAACATTAAGATATGCCACAGCTTTTGCACCAAGATTCACAAGGTTCTGCTCAACCCACTCTGTGGAACCGATCTGAAAACAAAATAGCAACAGATAGAAATAACTTTAGAGGACTACTGGAAAACATTCCCATGACAACATAAGCTAGTGTTAAGTTGATGACTCTCAAAACCATGTTCAACATGCATTGAAAAAAGCCTACTAAAGAGACAACTTAAAAGGTTGGGTATATAGATAATCTAAAGCCTACAGAGGAATATAGGGCTCCATATAGCTCCAGAATACCATATGCATCACATTTACATCCAACCAAATGATTTTCCCTAATGTATCCATACGTCATCAGAAAAGAGAATCTGAAAGATGAATTATCATTCTATGCACTGGCAGGGGAGTTTTTAAACTCCACAAGTGGGGTTTAATAGTTGCCATATTTAATAAATAATTAATTTATATTAATTTTCATACATATACCCTAGTGGGACATATGTCAACCATCTAACCCCAACTGTGGAGTATAAAAACTTTATCGCCACCGTATAGGATAATTTTCCCATGGAAAATTCAGTATTTGATGCCCCAATTCACTCTGCATGCATAGCACTTTACAAACCAGCGTTAAACAAAGATGGAACATTACCTACCATTCCAAACTCTTCAGCATCCCAACTGCAGAAAATAATTGTCCTTCGAGGGTTCCAACCCTTTCGCATCAAAAGGGCATACCTTCGAGCAATATCAAGAAGGGCTGCAGTCCCACTATTGGGGTCTACGGCTCCATATGTCCATGCATCTCTATGATTCCCCAGAAGCACATAGCGATCTCGCTCTACCGACCCCCGTATGACAGCGAATACATCATGAATTGTTGCCAACTTTTTCTCCCCCTAGAAGAATAGATCAAAAGGAAAGAATCAATAAAGATTCAAAAGAGCCTTTAGAAAATAGGATTTAAAGGCAACCATTTTTTCTTCTTTCCATAAAAAATAGCTAAAAAAATTGCAGAACAACAATCAACTTCAACTTTAGTTATAGTCAGAAATTAAATCAGTAAAAACATCTCTCACACGCATAGATGTCCTCTCATGCAATATTTATTCTGTCTAGGTATGCATTAATTACCTTTTCTGTATTCTAACAGAAACAGACCAGGAAAAAAGTAACCTTATCCCCAACAATTTCAGATGTGTAGCTCAGGAAAAGCATATAACAAAGCTAGGTTGCAAATTACCATACAATTTGCTAAGGAACTACTAGATAAAAATATAAAAGTTTATTAACAAATAATTTTGTGACCTCAATGGGCTCCCTGCAAAAAATAACATAGGTCTACCAGTTGCAATCAAACAGTGTGTTTTGTCAGGCCAAAAGAAGAATGAACCAGTTCCAATAATGGGAAGTCCAGAGTGAGGCTTTAGAAAAGTATGTCAAATGCCCCAAGCAGTTTCTTTCTCACAAATAAATAGAACAAATCACAATCTATAATGTTCAAGCACATAACGAAGTTGGTTAAGTGTTCAAAGTTCAGCTTAATGATGACAACTTGAGCCGACTGATCTAAATTCATTGCATATAACATATGATAACCTTATGTTCTGCCAACTTTTAGTATCTTCCTAGGCAAAAGAAAAAAGAAAAAGATATGAAACCCCCAGACAAGCAAACATGCAAGTGGTGGTGGATACTCATACAACATGTAAAGACAAACCAAACTTGGCCCAACCGGTTTTCCTTCACTCACCAAATGTGCACAAATGACTGAATATTGAATAAAAGTCATAAATTACAGGGCTATTAACTTGGCAGTGTTTTGAAACTTGTCCAAATTAGATCATTCCTATTTCTTAAAAAAGCATTACTAACCAACCTAATTTACCAAACTAGCTTTTGACTAAAAATTGCAGCTAACAGATAAAAACATCCAGCAAAAGAAACTCTATCTTCAGTCAAATTGTTAACATCAAAGTCATCCAAATTCAATTTACAATCTTTATAGATCCAATTTGACCAACTTTTAACATTAACATCAGGCACCAAAGTCAACCACTTTCCCGTTGTAGACAACATATACAGAAGTAAAACAAGCAAAAATATGCAGTAACAACAAATAAAGCAAATAAAATTAGCATCAACAATCTACCAGCCAACCAACCAACCTGATAAGTAAAATTGACCATAACCTGACCCGGTCCAACCCGGGATAACTTTGATCGACTGGAATCCCTCCATTTCTGAGGCGCCTCAGGACCCCCAAGAGACTCTAAAATAACCTGAGCACTCTCAAAAGGCAAGGGCAAAGATGGAATTCCAGGAAACCTGTCCAAAATCTTATTGTCCTCCAACTCCAACCTCTCCCCATCTTCAACCCCAGCCCATCCAGGAGTTAAAGGGTCCCCAACTCCCCTCATAACTGTCCCTCTTTCAACTCCAAACCCGAAACTACCCCTTGAAACATCCCCTTCGGCATACATTAGCACCCCCAAAGCACCTTTTTTTTCAGCTATTTGCACAGCAGCGCCTCTACTCAAACTACCACCTTTTTTAACTATCACTATGCAGCCACTAACGTTAACCCCCATCACTTCCAGCGCACGATAGTCATCTTCAGTTCCATTGTTCACAAAAACAGCATCACCCTGCGTCGTTCCTGATGGAGAATATGCATGGTAAGGTTGTACCAAGCCTGAAGGAGCATAACTAGAAATACCAATTTCGTTTAACGGCAAGTTTATCACGGTGCCGTTGTCGAAATGCAATGAAACTGAAGCACGAAGAGGGTAAGACAAAAGGGTCTTAAACGGCACCGTATGCGTTTCCAAGCCAAGGTTTTTAAAGTGGGTTTTAACGTAGTGGGTCGTTTCAAGCGAAGGTTTCGTGCCGG